AAAGCAAAGAGTCCATTCTTCAGCAGCACCTGACTGAAAAATCCTAGACTGGGGAAGCACAAGGCTGTCAAAGCTCAGGCAAAAGGGATAGGATAGGATAGGATAGGATAGGATAGGATAGGATAGGATAGGATAGGGGAATAGGATAGGTTAGGCTAGCAATAGGAATAGAATAGAATAGAATAGAATAGAATAGAATAGAATAGAATAGAATAGTAACAGTAACAGAGTTGGAAGGACCTTGGAGGTCATCTAGTCCAACCCCCTGCTCACGCAGGAGACCTGTACTAGGGATTCGAACTGCCGACAGAATAGAACAGAACAGAACAGAACAGAACAGAACAGAATAGAATAGAATCTGGAAGGGAGCTTGGAGGTCTTCTAGTCCAGCCCCCTGCTCAAGCTTAAGCTTTAAACGCATTTCAGCTTCTTGGCTTTAATTCTTCCCCGAGCAAGGGCTATTTCTCGAGGGCGGACGGGGACGGAAAGAACAGGGGAGGGGGGGGGAGGAAGGGGGGAAAATCCATTCTATTTTGTGCCGGATAATTGTTATACTCCTCTCCCTTCTCTCCCCTTTTTTTCCTTATTAGCGCCTGGAGGGACAGCAAGAGGCCGAGCGTGGGCGCGCGCGCTTTCCAAGCAAAGCCCGCGAGCAGAGCGCGTCGCGCGCCACTGGCCGCGTGGGCGGCAGGATGTGCGTCAGTCCCGCGCGGGGGAGGCCAACACGTGGAGGCAAGACCGACCACAGGATGGTGGGGGGGGGGGGGGTGGGGGGGGGGGGGGTGGGTTGACAAACCAGCGCTTTTTTTGCTTCTAAGTTGGCTTTCCCGGTTTATTTTACTTTATTTCACTCATTTATTTATTTTGAAAGGTAGATTTGCTCGCCTTTATAAACAAGGGAAGTTGCCCCCTGGAGTCGAGAATGATGATGATCTTTGCAATGTTTCTGCAGCACCACCACCACATCCCCGGCGCTTCTCTGAAGGAAGAATTTTGACTCGGGTCACGCTTCCTTTCCCCCTATTTTCAAATCTTTGTCTCAGAAAACTGAAAGAAGGACCCTGATCGGCTGGATGAGAAACTATACTGTACAGTAGTTTGTAATTTTATCTTGGAGAATAGTCATATTCTATAAAAATGCACTTGCTTGGTGTGTTAACATACTGGATCTCAAATGAATTGATGTATAAGCCTTCCCCTTACCAACATTCCTAGCATGGCAGCTTGTTTTTGAAGAAATAGCACTGCTGGAAATGGGATTTCACTGCTGCCAATGCTTCTTTGCTGTGTGTCCATTTACAAAGTAAAATGCCATGGAATAGGTAAAGTAATCTGGCAACCTGGGTTTTTACCCCAAGATGATCTCTCAAGCTCCAATCACTAGTGTATATGTATGCATCAACTCTTCTATATGTGTGATAAATGGTAATATAATTGTATTGATTTAGGCTGAAATCCCAGGTCTCATGGTTTATAAATCACAATTTATGGTTTAGCATATTGTACAAACCCATTGGCTTAATAAGCTATGATTAAACAACCCATGGTTTGTATGACATGTATACTCATTCACTCCAGTCTTATGCAGGTTTACTCACTCTTGCTTTCAGTGCAACTTGATTTATTTATCAAACTATACATCTGTGTTCCGATAGGTCATTGTTTTAGAGATATTTCCTTATCTAAACAAAAACAAAATGATTATGGGTGGGCAAAAAATCAGTGAGAGTGGGAGAAACTTCCAACTTACTGTCAGTTTCTCTATTGAGTTTCCTTATGGGAAGTTGACGGAGTATTGGAATTTTTCTTCTTTCACTCCCTCTTCTTTTTTCTTTCTCCCAATCCCCCTCCTTCCACTCTTCCCTCCTTTTCTTCCTGTTCCCTCCCTCCCTCCCCGTTTCTTCCTTCCCTTTCTCCCTCCTCCTTCCTGTCACATTGAGTATAAACTTGATGCTGGCTTCCCCATTGATTTAATAAAACAATAGATGCCATGTGGGTCAGGGAGGTGCATGTTGCTTGCTGAGGGTCAGAAAGGGTGTATGAGAGATTGCAGGAGTCAGCAAGGGTGCTTGGTATAGCACAGGTTGGGAAGAGTGCACGAGTGGCTAATACTATTGAATTTATGCTTCCTTTTGGCTTCCCCACCGATTTATGTGGGAAGCTGTCAAGGAGCATTGGAAATAATCACACGACTCTAGGTGACTGCAGCAGTACCAAAACATGAAGCCATGAATTGCAAAATTTCAATTCTGTGGGAGTCAGATCCCAGATTTTGGGTGTATTTTGAAAATTAGCCCATTTGAAGTATGTTGATTCAAAAAATGTTGCCCTGTAATGCACCATTTTGCCCAATTGAAGGTTGCAAATAAACACAAAAATTTCATTAGTATATAGATTTTTTAATTCCAGCCATGCACCTAAAGGACTAAAGGAGGGCCTGAAATCTTGCCCTACAACCAACATTTTCCCTTTGTAACTGGTTCCTAATATGTCCCTGTTGCATGTTGAGTTTTGGAGAAAAGATGGGATTTAAGCACAATTTAAGGGACGCCAGACTCAAAAACCCGGAACCTGAGGTTGGCCATGGAGGGCTTCAGGGCTTGGCACACACCTTTCAGAAAATGCAGTCACAAGCCCTGTGAGAGGCCACTTAGTGGAATTCTATGTTAATGCTCAGGCATCTCTGAATAGAAATCTTTTCTCAGCAGCTAAAGTTGGCCAAAGGTCCCCACCTCCACAGAGCAAGCTCTCTGCCCACATCTTCCTTTGCATGCAGAGAATGGCTCTGTTGCTGACGAGCCAAGAGACCTGCAACAGATTGGACAGTGCTATCCGAAGGAGCATTAGTGTGTATGCGTAGGTGGGGGGAGGCACAGTGTGTGGGTGGCAGAGAAAGGAATGGAACTTCCGTAACTGCAAACCCCACAGCGATGTTTCCTGTATCACAGAGGATCCAAAAATAAACTCCTAAACTAATCCCAGCTACAAAGGAATGTAGAAATTTAGGATTGTAAGGAGTTGAGGGTTCTTCAGCATTAGATGGATGTACAATGAAAAACCACGATTGGGTTTTTGAGAGTATGGAGTGAGAAGGGATGTGCACATTTTTGTTAATTTATAAAAGCATTTCTATACTGGTTTTCAAAATACAACTGAGATGAACCAATATATATATATGCTTTGTGTCTCAGACAACTGACAAGCTCTCAAAACTTTTCTATTTCAGCAAGCTGGCCTGGCCTAACTCCCCTCTTTTAAATTTTTTATTTTTTTTTAATTCGTGACTTTATAAATTGGGTGTTTTAATCTGTGTTTCGGCCAAAATATTTAATAATTTTAAGGGATTTTTAATATTTGTATTATCTGTATTTTATCTTGGCTGTTCACCGCCCTGAGTCCTTCGGGAGTAGGGCGGTATAGAAATTTGATTAAATAAAAATAAAAAATAAATAAAACGTTTTAAGATTTTTTTTAAAAAAAAATCCAGTTGGACAGGCAGCAAGCCAGTGTCCCAAATAGTTTTAGTAGGTAAAGAAATTTGGCATTATTGTTGTTGAAGTTGGGAAACAGTGCAACTGGAATTGCACATCTAGAAAATGAAGTAACAAGAAGGGCAACTTGTTCAAACCCATCTGTTTAAAATAGCTAAGGACACCTCCATTCCAACTTTCATCCAAAGTCACAGTACATAGTACCCCAAAACACCTAAATAATTTTGGAAAATGTTGTGTAAAATCCCACATACCATTCCTCCTCCTTGACTATAGCAATATGGTATAATATCAAAGGACTTGGAGTTATGTGCTATCAGAGATAATCATTCTCTCTAAAACTAGGGCCAATCCCTACTTCATCAAATTCCAATCACTTCAATGTTGCCATTTAAAGTTAAAAGAATGAAATAGATAGGGAAGATCCATCTGTTCTGAGACCTTGAACAGTTGCCACATGGCTAAATTTGGTGTAGTGGTTAAGGAACCCAGCTAGAAACAAGGAGATGGTGCAGCAGGATGCCAGTTGGGGACCTTGGTCAGTTGCTCTCAGTCCTTAAGCGGACAGTGACGAAGTATTTCCAAGAAATCTTGCAAGGAAAACTGCAGATTGTCCAGACAATCTTCAGGACTGACCTGAAGACAATCAAATCAACACAAGCTGGCATAAAGTAGCTTTTATTGTTTCCATTACGGCAGCTACAATAATTAATAATGTAGACATAATTCTCTAGGATCAAGAAATACCTTTTCTGGTATTTAAACATTATAAACAGTGTTTCTTCACCAAAGTTACTGTGCACTAGTAATGAAACAAAGATCAGAATTTACATAGAGTACATGGCTTCTTCTATTAACGGAAAGGAAGCAGACTTGCTCTTTGATCCAAACAGTATCTTTGCACTATTTGGCAGAGTGGGGGAAATAGCAGTGTGTTTTCACCATCCCCCATACATTCAGTTCAATAAATAATGGATTTGTAAAGCACTGCTTTTTGCTTTTCAAAAATAAAGCAGCAGGCCTCCTAGCACGTTTCAGTAAAATAGACACCGAATTCACCATAAAACAGGGACTGGGAAACAATTACAGTACTTTATTTTAAAAGTACCCTAGTGGATCAATTCCTGCCTGAGTAACTTTCAAACTTATGCACTTGAACGCCCAGAATTTCTCAGCCATTGCTGGGAATTCTGGGAGTTGGATGTCTGTAAGTTGCCTTAGGTTGGCAAATACCGAATCAATTCCTGTATCCTGGTTTGGGCCTCAATATTTGGGAACTCCTCCTACGTCTCCAATGAATGGATGTATTGTTTTCTCAGCGATTCCCTCCGATCGCGGAACTTTATTCCGCACAGCGTAAACAGCACCCATGTCAGTGCAAAAATAATAATAATAAAAAAAAATCCAGCAACCCTGTCCTGAACTATTTTTCCCCGTGTGTACCCGAATGTTCCAGTGAGCGAACCGATAGGTCGCTTACAACGCACATGCAAGCGCGCTCAGGAAAACATTATCGCGCACACACGACGAACCTACAGAGGCGGGAATAAGCGGCGGCGGGCATACAGTCGGGAAGGAAACCCGCTTTTTATTTTAAGCGGTGAGCGTTTCACCGAGACGGGGCGTACCACACAAAGCTCAGGCTCGTCTGAGAATCTCCACAAGACTTTTAAAAAACTCAGGCTTGCAAAACGCGGCCAAGAAAAGCGGCAGGCCGACCATGTCCGTCCCCGGATCGACGCGATGTCCTCTTTCCAAGGCGCGCAAAAGGCCCGCCGCGCCGAAGAAAAAGTGGAAGAAGTTGGGGCGATAAAGCGGTGGCGGTGGTAGGAATCCTATATGCTCATTCCTGCCTTGGAAGCCGCGAAGGAGGGAAGGTGGGCGGTAAATGCCGTACCTCCCCCTCCCCCGGCGCTTGAGGTGGCGAAGGCTGTTTGATGTTGCTGCTGTTGCAGTTTTTCTGGTCCGAGGCAGAAGCTGCCTGCCGCCCCCGGCACCTCCCACGCGCGGCAGCAGCTCAGAGCCGCTGCCGCCGCCGTTCCATTGTAAATCCGGCGGCGTGGGAGGCAATTCCGTGCCAAAGGCTCAGCGCCGAGGCGCGCAGAGAGAAAGGAGGAGGAGGAGGAGGAAGAAGAAGAAGAAGAAGAGGAGGAGGAGGGGGCCGGGGGCGGACGGAGAAGCTCCGACGGAGGGAGGCAGAAGACCATCGAAGCTGGACAGGGGTGCCGCGTTGGGAGCCCTGCGCCTTTCTCGGGTCTGCCTTTCCGCGGAGAGGAAGAAGAAGGTGCGGCCAGCAGCGAGGCTTCCGAAGGCCTCGGGTCCATGCTTGACGGGCACACCGGTCGGACTGCGAAGAAATCCACTGGCGCGGTAAGATTGCCACCGGGGGGGGGAGGTGCGAGGAGAGGGAGAGTTTGGGGTGGGGGACGGGGGGGGTGGAGGAGGCGCCGCGGATGAGCAGGAGAGATGAGATGAGCGACTGGGAGCAAGTTATGGGGAGGGGGGGGTCAAGACCTACTCGGGAGGAATCGGCTGCCGAACCTCGCAGCTCTTCAACGAAGAGCTTCTCCTTCTCTTCTTGGAGAAGCTTCAGCTTCTCCAAGAAGCTGCTCGGATGCAAAGGGTGAAAATGCCAAGATATTCAACAAATATTTCGGGGATCGGGCTTGCTTTTTTGGGGGGGGGGGTGGGGGGAGCCACGCCCCCCACCTGGGCAACCTTATTTGCTGCCTAGTCTGTGGGTCCGATGGGCCGGTGGATTCTGCACAGGCTCAGACACCTTCCCATCTCTCTCAGTATATACTTCAGTCTGAATGCCAAAGAGTTGAATAAAGAGTATTATTGGGTATGTAGCCAGGATCTGTGGTGGAGGGCATTTCGGGGCATTGCCATGGTGCACTCAGAAAAACCACACCAGCATTGGTATCTGAGAAAGAATAGGCAGCAGGGAAGAGTTTAATTTAAAAAAAAGAAAAAGAAAAAGAGCCAGGATAAAAGCAAAAAGCTCACCTCTGAGCTTTCAACCTGGGATTGAAATACTGATGTTAAAATGGATGGATGTTAAGATTATGTACATCCTCATAAAACACCTAATCTTTAATGCTTTATCCAGAAATATAAGGTAGGATTAAGAAAAACTATATTCCAGGTAGTAATCTTAAAATTATAATAATCTTAGAATTATAATTTTATAATCTCTCTCCGGTGCTTTAAATGATAATGTTAAGTAACTCCAAAAGATGACAAGCCACGCAGTATTGTATTTAAGGTCCTTGGATAATTGCAGGTAGTCCTCGAGTTGTAACCACAACTGAATCCAAAAATTACATTGCTAAGTGAAACATTCGTTAAGTGAGTTTTGTCCCATTTTAACGACTTTTCTTGCCACAGTTGTTGCCACAGGGAATCATTGCATATGTTAAGTTAGTAACATGGTTGTTAAGGGAATCTGATTGCCCCATTTGACTTTGCTTGTCAGAAGGTCGCAAAAAGGGATCACATGACCTTGGGATACTGCAGCAGTCATAAATACGAACCAGTTGCCAAGCATCTGAATTTTGATCATGTGACCATGGGGATGCTGCAACGGTCCTAAGTGTGAAAAACGGTCATAAGTCACAATTTTCAGTGCTGCTGTAACTTTAAATGGTCACTAAATGAACTCTTGTAAGTCGAGGACTCCCTGTACTTTTTAATACCTATCCTGTTGGCATCTCCAGAAAAGACTGGCAAGAACTATAGGAAGATAGTGAAGTTTGATCTGGAGAGTGTCTTGTCAACAACCATCAGTTGCTGTTGGCCTCACCAAGTTAAGAGTCATGACAAGCAAGATGAATTAATGTGACTGTGTTATAATGGACCAAATGTTGCAAGTCTGAAAGTACAGTTCTCTCCCCATCTCCTTTACAGCAGGAGAGACTAGGGAGGGTCCCTTCTGAGCCTCTTGCCCCACCCACTATCCAGCTGAGGGCCATGCTGTCTCTTATCTGACCGTTCCCTTGGCAGCGTCTCTTCGCCCAGTTTCTCAAGGTTTTTCCCACATTACAGTTTCATTCTCTCATTAGCCCCCCCTCCCTTCCACACCCACGTATCTCCCACTTGTATTCTCAAAATTTCCTCACCCGCTGTTTATCTTCAGCCTCTTCCAAGAAGAGAAAATAATGGCAGCTCTGTGGGTATCCACGGAGTGCCAACTCCACCCCAGCCCATTGCTTCACTCTTTTAATGGCCTTGTAATAAAAGACAGAGAGCGTGCACAAGGGTGGATAAAGAAGGAACAAGCAGTGGGCGTTTGGAGGAGTCTGATACGTGTGCACATGTTAGTTACTAGACCCAGCAAGAGGTGTGTGCAGAGTGTTTCTGGTTTGTGCAGAAAATCTAGGTTTTGTGTGTGCACGCATGTGTACTAAGCAGGTTGAAGATATCACATTGGGTTTTCAAGGGACAGAAGGTTGATTGTAATTCTGATCCAGCTGGTAGTGCAAAGACAAAGACTTTTATGCATGAGGCGCTGTAATTGTAAGTCGGGTAGTTTACTGTACTTGAAGATTTCTAATAAAGAAAAAATCCTCACAGTGCAGAGGTAAAAAAACTGAAACTGAGAACAAGAGATTTCTTTTGCTGGCAAGATTAATGGATTAGAGCTTGGGGTTGCAGTGTAGGATGGATGGAGAATGTGCATCCCTAGTGAATTCTAGTGCAAGATCAAATTCTCCCATTAGTTTAAAAAAAAAAAAGAGTAATTGAAGTTTTCAGCAGCAGCCTGAAAATACACTTAATAAGAAACGCGCCTCACTGGGCACAGTGGGACTTTATTCCAAGAAAGCAAAGGGAGGGTGGTGTTATCAGCATGAAGGAGAGAGAAAGGAAAAAGCTGGGCCTTGTTTGCCTCAGGAATATGGCAGTGATGTAGAGGTAACAGAGCAGTGACTATATGAGGTACAACAACACACTTAAGAGGCTGTGTAGAAAGGCTCCCTTGTTTATTGTAGAGCCTAAGAAGTCTCCTGGACTGGATCAGATCCCTTCAGCCAAATTTGGGTCTGTTCATCCAAAGAAACAGAGGAAAATTTCAGTGTAAATCATCTGCTTTATATCATCAAGCCATTATTTCTGTGTGAATGGGGAGACACGGCCAATAAACAAGAGGGGGGGACAAAGCCTCTTAATTCGTGACACTGATAGCTCATGCTAATTTAAACTTGTGAACTTAGTGCAAAAGAAATGCCAAGTATTTTCTATGGTGTCTTCTTTCTTCTCCTACCTGAACTACGGAGATAAAGAGGAGCTCTGCCCTCCTTCCATTTTGGCTACTACTGGTAGTTCTCGACTTACGACCACAACTGAATCCCAAATTTCCATGTTAAATGAGTTTTGCTCCATTTTATGACCTTTTTTGCCACAGTTGTTAAGCGAATCATGGGGTAAATTGAGCAAATCTGGCTTCCCCCCATTGACTTTGTTTGTTGGAAACTGGCTGGGAAGGTTACAAATGGTGATCAGACTACAACTGTCACATTGCAACTGTCATAAATACATGCCGGTTGTCAAGTGTCCAAATTTTGATCATGTGACCATGGCAGAGGTGGGTTTCAGCAGGTTCTGACCAGTTCTGGAGAACCGGTAGCGGAAATTTTGAGTAGTTCGGAGAACTGGTAAATATCATCTGTGACTGGCCCCGCCCCAATCTATTCTCTGTCTCCCAAGTCCCAGTTGATCGGGAGGAAATGGGAATTTTGCAGTAACCTTCCCCTGGATTGGGAAGGGAATGGTGATTTTATAGTATCCTTTCCCTGCCACGCCCACAGAACCGGTAGTAAAAAAATTAGAAACCCACCACTGGACCATGGGATGCTATAAAGATCATAAGCGTGAAAACCGATCATCAGTGGCATTGTAATTTCAAACAGTCACTAAACAAATGGCTGTAAGTTAAGGATTACCTGTACTTCGGCCTTCATGGTTTCACTCTGTCACCCCTGCAGGCAATTGGCAATGGCGTTGTTGCTGCCCCGCACCCTGGGCGAACTTCAGCTCTACCGTGTCCTCCAGAGAGCCAACCTCCTCTCCTACTATGAGACCTTCATCCAGCAGGGCGGTGATGATGTGCAGCAACTGTGCGAGGCTGGTGAGGAAGAGTTCCTGGAGATCATGGCTCTCGTTGGCATGGCGACCAAGCCACTCCATGTCCGGCGCCTCCAGAAGGCTCTCCGGGAGTGGGCAACCAATCCTTGTCTCTTCAACCAGCCGGTGCCCTCCATACCTGTAAGCAGCATACCACTCTTCAAGATCTCCGAGTCCGGAGGCCACAAGTCACTCACCAATGGACACACCAGCCCAGTAGAGATCCCTGGCAAAACCAGTGCCACTTCCCCTTCCAAAAGCCCCTCCGAGCCACAAGAGAAGCTGTCCCCCTTGGCAGCCATGCAGTGGGGGAACCCCGAGTCTGAAGAAGAAGGAGGGGTCACCTCACCCAGCGAGCCCCCGTCATCCACGGAGCATCTCGATCCAGAGCTAGCCCATGCAGTGTCCGAAGGGGTGGATCGTTTGCTGCGCAGCTGCCCGCGCAGTGGAGATGTAGAATTGAAGACACTCCTGAAGCTGAATAAGAAGTTGGCCAAAACAGTGGGGCATATCTTCCAGATGGACAATGGGGACCCTCACAAAGAAGAAGAGATCCGGCGTCACAGTGCCATCTATGGGCGGGGTGAGACTCGGAGATGCGAGGGCAAACAGTTCACCCTTCATGAGGTGAGCCATGAGGGAAGCTACACTGGTCAACCAAAACTCAGGAATGACATTTACTTAAAATATTCAATAGGTTTAGTAGACTAAAGAATGTCTAATATTAATGCTACCGTGATAATAATAAGAAAAAACACTATATACTCTCAGCGGGGGACAGCATCTGGCTGACTTCATCTGGAAAGGAAAGCTAAGCAAGGGCAGGTCTGTTTACCACTTGGATGGGGAACCTCAGGATATAGCGGGGGAGTAGGCCAGATTTAAGAAGTTTTTAAAAATATTGAAAGAAGGCAGCTCATTCCCAGATGGCATGAAAAAAACTGTATGAATGTGTTGACATAATCCCTGAGAACTGAGCTTAACTCAAATGAGGCCTTACTGGTGCAGTCCTCTGTGTTTTTAGCCTATATAGTAAAGGTAGTAATTTTGTTTTTAAATGATACAGAATGAATCTAAAAGTTTCTATGGAAAAAGAGTTTCACAGTGGTGGGACCTCGAACTTCAAGAGTTTTGGATGAAGAACCAAGGAGGGTGGTCTTAGAGAATAACTGCAGAGGATGAGCCCTCCAGTCTTTTACTCGCTAACAGGAATATCTACTGATTCACTTAGAGTTAATTTTAGTGGATGTAGCATCTGCCTTATCCCAGATCAGAACCCCCCCTCTCCCCCTTCTCATTCTCTGTCTCCCTGCCTCATTCCCTCCCTCCCACTCCCTGCCTCCCTCTCTCTTCCTCTCTCCTGCTAATTCTTTAAATATCCATCATTCTCCAACTGTTCTCTACAAACCATTAAGGTTCTGTGGAGAATCACCTTCTCATGTTCACTGGCCAGGCTTCCTTTTTTGACTTCAGTGCCAGTTAGCTGGTTCATGAAAATGGATCTTTAGTTGAAAAGTGCTTCATGTAGTCTGTAATTGATGATATATGAAGGAATCTAAATATTAACTTCAAGAAAATGCTAATAATGAATAGGCCTCAAATTCAGTTACTGACTGAATCCACGTGCAATATAATGAGTGGAGCTGTTGCCTCATACAGACAACCCAAACAGAAAAGGCAAATATATAATTTTTCAATCCAAGACCAGCATAAATAATGTTTAAAACTAGGGGATTGTTGTTCTTCCTATGACAGCAATCAGCAATCAGTCTATAGCTGTATACTAAAATATAGTATACAACTATAAATCCTCATGGGACTAAAATGTACAAAGAATTACCAGAAATTATGATTAACATTAATATAGAATATAATATATGGTGATGAGCTAAATGTAGAAGGTAATGTGGTGTCATTAATGTAATAGAAAATATGATTGATAATTAAAAAAGATTTCATTGGGCTAGTGACCTATTCATCCCTTTTTTCTTCGTACTCAAAGGTTTCTATTGAAGAACATTGTTGACTAGTTTGTATTAAGATGTATCAAGAGATGGGGAACATAAAATAATCCAAGCAGTAGGAAATATAAAATTTTGAATTATATTTTGATACAAATTTAATTTAAAATAAAGAGGATGGTCAATCTCAAATGAAGCTAGTTTATTCATTGGTCCATGCTTTCAGAAACTATGAGAATCGGAGCTTTGAATGCTGTGGGCCTAATGTTCTTTGAGGTCCTCTGCTTCCTCAGAGAATCAATTCTGTTCACTCTTCTCTCCCAGCTCACAATTAATGAGGCTGCTGCTCAGTTCTGTCTGCGAGACAATTCACTGCTGTTGCGTCGTGTGGAATTGTTCTCACTGTCACGTCAGGTGGCTCGGGAGAGCAGCTATCTCTCTTCACTGAAAGGTTCTAGGTAAGACTCAGATCTTGGTGGTTTTGTTAGCAATGAGAAGTTCTAGAACTGGGCTGCTCTTGAATGATTGTTGTAAACCTGTTGGGAAGGTTCTCAGTGGGCAGAACAAATTGCTGTTGCTTCTAGTCATATCTTCTTCAACTATCCCTTTCAGTCTATGGAGATTCTCAGTCATCCAGGTCAGGATTGTCCCAAAGCTGCTTTTTCAAGAGGCAATTGGACTTCCTGTTTTTTCTTTGAAGGCGTTTCGCTTCTTGAAGACATTTTTTCGTCAAGAGCTGAAGAAGCTTCTTGGATGAGAAGTGAGATGTCTTCAAAGAAAAACCAGATAGCCTAGTTGCCTCTTGAAAAAGCACCTTTGGAGGTATTATCCCTTTCAGGTTGCTTGAAGAAACCTAATTTCTTCAAAAGGTTGGAAATACCTTTTAAAATGTCCCCAAAAACCTGGCATTTTGCATGTATTCCATCTGACCTTGATTTCTGTATTATTGAGCATGCTGTCAAATATAAGTGCTAGATGTGAAGTATGCGGAATATTGATACAAAGTGATCTCTGCTAAATTGGAGCTAAAGTAAGATTTGTCCACCTATATTAATTATCTGCCCACTAATTACACGTAATTATCCCAAGAATATCTCACGCATTCAGAAAACAATCCTTGTATTAATTTGCTTCTTCTTTGTCTTTGTCTTTGAAATTGGTTTAGCAAAAAAAGGAAATCATAATCAAATGGTATAGGAATAATCCTGCATCAACCTTGAGTTTTCACGTTTTCATTCCCAACTTTTTGTATCTGTCAAAAAAACTCAAAAACGTCTGTTTTCCGTTTTGAAACCGCTGTTGTCCGGTTAAAGCTGAAATTTGGGACCTAGAATTTTTACATATTTGTAATTCCAGTATCTAATACCTGTAATTCATTTTTATTCTAATGTTTTAAAAAGTAAATTAAAAAGTTTCTGCTTTGACTTTTGAACCAATCACTTTCCCTTTTACAGCTGAAAATCAAGAAATAGGATTTGTGCCAACTGTGATCTTTTATTAAATCAGGATGTAAAATTGTAAGATCTAATCTGGGTCAGTCAACGGGACCAGCGGTTTACTCTTCTGAGCTTTCGGCCACTTTCCCGGAGACCGACCAAGATTGGATCTTGCAACATTATCCTGGGACACTTATATTTGCCTTCATTCATATAAAATTGCACTTCGACACCGTTTTGAGTAACATGATTGGAATATATCTCAGTATCCTGATTTGATGAACCATGTGAATTTGCAATTATTTCTGCAGAGAAAGATTAGATTTTCTCATAAATATGAATTTTAGGACAGATGGAGAACCTGAGCCAAAGATTAACTAAAACACATTCTCATTATATGAGGCCATAGTTTCTTACGTTTAAAATAAGGGCCTATTATAGTTTCTTATGTTTAAAATAAGAGCCTATTTTACCCATCAGGATAAAGCGATCTGATTTACAGGTAGCTCTCGACTTACAACAGTTGATTTAGTGATTCTTCCAAGTTACAACGGCACTGAAAAACTGTTTTTCAACATAACAACCGTTGCAGCATCCCCATGGTCATGATAAAAAATCAGATGCTTGGCAACTGACTCATATTTATGAAGGTTGAGGTATCCTGGGGACACGTTATCCCCTTTTGCAAGCTTCTGACAAGCAAAGTCAATGGGGAAGTTAGATTAGTTTAACAATCATGTTACTAACTGCAGTGATTCAAGTAATGACTGTTGCAAGAAAGGTTGTAAAATAGGGTTAAATTCACTTAACAATTGTCTTGAGTAGCAACAGAAACATTGGGCTCTGTTGTCGTAAGTCGAGAACTACCTGTAATTTTTTAATATATACTTTAATTTGTATATTCAGCCATCACAACCAATGATGCATGATGAGTGAACATACCCAGTTAGGCCTAATCAAACAGACCCCAATGAACAAAAATTTAACTTAGTGCAACAGACTTAGCCATTAAGCTTAATATGTAGATTGATTCATTATGGTCTGCTTAGCAAGCTGTATTTGAAGAAAATTAAATTTCAGCTGGTATCAAACCTTATTTAATATAACCCCAGCAACAGATAGTTAGCTTCTGTGATGTTATTAATGCTTTATATCTTTATATCAGGCCATTAAATTGTATTCATTCCAACACCCACCCAGGCTGCAAATTTCTGTAAATGCTAAATTGGCACAAGCACATGTCCTGGACCAGGGTAGTCCAGAACATATGGAGTGTTGCATGAATGATTCTTCTATGATTGGGCTAGAAGTGATTTCCTGGATGTATTATTTAATTGGATATGCTGACTCCTTTATGACTTTTGTCCCCAGGCTGCGTCCAGATGAAAACTCGGGTGGACAGGCTAAGCGCTTCAAGCAGGAGGTAAGTGAAAAAGATATGCTATATGCACAAGAGAAAAAAGACAGAGAAATGCTTTTGAGTTTTCAGAGAAAAATACTGTAGGAAATATGACAATGAAACAATGCATGCTTTGTTTGTAAACCAGTGGTCCATTTTTGGATCTTTTCTTCAATGAAGCAGAGGTTTCTCTGGGTTTTCCCCCCTTGTAATCTTTCAGTCCTTAAAGAGATTCAGATCGGGAAAGTAGGATGCCCCTGTTCTCTGTTGTCTGCTGTATCTTCATGTCCTGGATGATAAATTATGCAAAATGAGAAAGCTGTTTGCCCCATTGAACAGGATCAGAAGATGAGCAATAGGAAGAGAGGACTGATAGCGTAAGAAAACCTGCTGTTCTTCTCATACTGCGTGCTAAGGCTAGGTTGGCACTTACCTATTGGTCTGACTTCAGAAGACCTAGCAAAGGAGGATAATTCTGATTTGTTTGTGGGGAGTGAGGCCACCCATTTTTGACTGATTGGCTGGCCACGTTTTTGTTTGTGTCTCCAGTTTTCGTACTTGTAGTATGCCTAAGGGCTGGGGGGGGGGGGGAGGGGAGAAAAAATGCTGCAACCAGAATAATTCAGTTTTACAACCTTATCTCTCATCTCTCTACCCAGAAGCTGGAGATTAGGATTAATTTAAAATTACCCTTTTGAGTCCAGATAAGACCAGGCTAATGTTAGTCAAAATCGTTTTTAATCTTAGATCAGAGATGTCAACCTCACGGTATCACGTTGTCATGTGACGTATCGTGACATTTTTCCCCTTTGCTAAAATGGGGGTGAGGGTGGCCAGTGTATGACGCATCCGGCCCATGGGCTGCAAGTTTCACACCTCTGTCTTATTTATTTATTTATTTATTTATTTATTTATTTATTTATTTATTTATTTATTTAATCAAATTTCTATACCGCCCTACTCCCGAAGGACTCAGGGCGGTGAACAGCCAAGATAAAATACAGATAATACAAATATTAAAAATCCCTTAAAATTATTAAATATTTTGGCCGAAACACAGATTAAAACACCCAATTTATAAAATCACGAATTAAAAAATTTAAAAAATAATTTAAAAGAGGGGAGTTAGGCCAGGCCAGCTTGCTGAAATAGAAAAGTTTTGAGAGCACGGCGAAACGTGCGCAGGTCCGGGATCTTCCGTATCTCTGGGGGGAGCTCGTTCCAGATGGTAGGTGCCCCCACAGAGAAGGCTCTCCCCCTGGGGGCCGCCAGTCGACACTGTTTGGCCGACGGCACCCTGAGGAGCCCCTCTCTATGGGAGCGTACTGGTCGGTGAGAGGCTATTGGTAGCAGAAGGCGGTCTCGTAGATACCCCGGTCCGATGCCATGGAGCGCTCTAAAGGTGGTAACCAAAACCTTGAAGCGCACCCGGAAGACCACCGGGAGCCAGTGCAGCTCGCGCAGGAGGGGGGTCACATATTCTTAGATAAAGAATATGGTAAAGGTGTGAGTCCAGATTTCTCAACAGTCTAGCTTTGTGTGCTTTACCATTTTCCTTTGGCCTATGGGTCCTTGAAGAACTAGGAGAATTCTCTGGGGGTTTTCTAGTTGGCAACTTTTAATTTCAAGAATAAGGCAACAGAGACCTATCTATCATCTGTCTATCTATCTATCTATCTATCTATCTATCTATCTATCTATCTATCTATCTCTATCTATCTATCTATCTATCTATCTATCTATCTATCTATCTATCTATCTATCTATCATCTATCTATCTATCTATCTATCTATCGTATATAAGCACATCTTTCTGGATATATTGGTGCATATGTACATTTCCGAATGAATAGTGAGTATATATTTATCCTGTATTATTCATTACATTGTGAATACATTCTTCATTACATGTATTATATGATCATTATGTGTAGGATCACAATGATTCATGAAATTTGAGGATTCTAAAATTGCTCCCAGCCCCATTCCCAACCAGCTCTTGACTTCGGTCATGGATTGAATGTGTGAAAGGTCAGAGTTTGCCTTAGTGTGGAGACAGTGCTAGTTAACACATGTACAATAGAAAATACCAGTTCCATGTCTTCATTGCTCTACCGAATGAGACAGACATAACGCCTACCAATTTCTACCTGAAATTTGCAAGCATGCTCTTTAGCAATTTAGAGAGAGGGAGAGGGGATTATAGGGTTTGGGAAACAGGATGTACTTCTTGCCTGTTCGGGAGATCGAGGGTCCTCTTTAATGGAGGCATTTTAAAATAATTACATAGCAGTCCTGACGGAGTAGGCAGAATAGAAGGAAGCAGGCTAAAGAGATGAAGGCTATCATTTCCTTGTGCACTGAACTCTGGCCAAAACTCTTCTTTTTTTTTTTTTTTTTTTTTTGAAGTTCCAAGCTCCAAAACCAAAGTCTCCATGTTATCCTTTTATCAAATTCCTTACCCTACCTTTCTAGTATCATTTGTAACTAAACAGATTAATTAGAAATTAATACGAGTACAAGTAAGTACAGGAGGAAATGTCATACTAATCCGTATACAACATGATTCCAGGCAAGCCAATTGGATGATAAGTTAAAAATCATACAAGCATATTGCCTGCAGTAAGTACATTTCAGATTGTTACAAGATTATATTTTGGATGCAGGTTAATACAGTGTTTAATTACATTTATTGCTTGCAGGAAAAAAAAATTGTATCATCACTTTTCAGTTTTAAAAGTTCACAGCTCTCGCAGAGAAAGTGAAATTGGCAGGCAGGCAGCTTCCCTTTTATTTTTCTTGGTAATTCTCCCAATAGGTTACAGAACACAGTCGCCCTGAGCTTCCTTTGGTCTGTGAACCCTTCCTTCCTCCATACCGATCCAGCGTAGAAGAAGACACAGCCAGCTTGTCTGGGGAAAGCATAGATGGACATCCGCAAGGTGAGTGCTCTGGGCGCTAAGGAAGTTTTCCGTGGGTATCGACTATGGAACTAGACTGTAAAATGGGAAATTATGAAAGAGGCTTTGTTTCTTGGTAGGCTTCACACAAAGTGATGTCATTCCTGTTTGTAGAATCCATCTTGTTTCTGGAACAGTGTCTCTCATGCACTACTTTACAAGAGCATGCTCAACCTTGTGTGTGCAGTACTGAATCACACTTTATCCTGTGTGCATTACTTTAACCCTAACTACAAATAGAAGCTGCAATTTGTACATTTTATTATGTCAGTTCGCTGCCCACCCACCCTCCTCTTCCCTCTGTCTGGCTTGCTGTGTGACCTTGACATCAACTAAGGTAGTATTAATTTCATTGCTTTGTGGAAGAAACCATGATTGGCTAGGTTTATACAGCATGCTAAGCCATGAATCATAGTCTACAGATCCGAATGTCTGGATTTACACATTCCGGAAACCAAAACTAAACAAACCATATGGTAGTTTAAATATGATGAGTGTACCCAAACCAGCTTCCTCCAAGTGAGGTGATACTGAGCTTTAATTAGATTTCCATAATTTAGTATGTTTTCTCTTCCTTTTACTCTTTGTTTTTTTTCCCCCTCTCCGTCCTTTTCCCCTCTTCTCCTTTTAAATACAAACATACCACTGTTACGTTTTATTTTGTTACATCTTTATTATAATTAGTTGTGTCATAATGGTCTTAGTCCAAATAAACCCTCTCCAGGGCTTCAGCAAGTATTAACTTAATGTAAATTAGCAGAGCTTTATATTCTTACTGTTGTTTATAAATTCTAGTTTTATTTATAGCCTTGTAAAGTTATCTGTTCTAATTATTTATAGTGTTTAAATTAGTCATTGCAAAGTTATAGGATTATTTATAGGATTATTTTGTATTTTAATACCTCTATTCTATTATTTTAACTTAATAATTTTTTATTTGCCCCAACGTAAATTATGTTGACTTTTTCTTTTTATGTAACTTTCAATGATGCAGTTCCACTTTCTCCAGAATCTAGTTAGCACCTCTGTGTTTTTGGTTTAGTTTGTAAAGACTGAGCAAGAAAACTTTATACAGGCAGTCCTCAACTTACAACCACGATTGAGCCCAACATTTCTAAGTGAGACATTTTTTAAATGAGTTTTGCCCCATTTTACGACCTTTTTTGCCACAGTTGTTAAGCAAATCACTGCAGTTGATAAGTTAATAACACGACAGTTAAGTGAATCTGGCTTCCCTGTTGACTTTGCTTGTCAGAAGCTCACAAAAGGGGATCACGTAACCATGAGATTCTGCAACCATCATAAATATGGATCAGCTGCCAAGTGCCTAAATTTTGATCATGTGACCATAGAGATGCTGCAACAGTGTAAATACGAAAAATGGTCATGTCACTTTTTTCAGAGCCGTTGTAACTTCAAACGGTCATTAAATAAGTTGTTGTAAATTGAGGATTTATCTGTACATTCTTAGAATAGGGGTGAAATAGGGAAAAAAGAATACAAGAGAACGGAAAACATATTGTTCAGCATATCTCTTCATTGTCAACAGCTACCTGTTAAATTAGCACCATTCTTTTAATCAGCAGTCTAAATTAGTAACAGTACTAGAGTAAATGTCTTAATTTACTTCATGTCTAAATGTCTTAGTTTTGGAGAACATCAATTATATTCATTTAGACATCCATTTATTTATTTGCCGATAAAAAGCAATGTTTTTCCACTTTGGCAACTTCAAAAATTTAGCATGCTGGCTGGGGAATTCTGGGAGTTGAAGGCCACACCTTTTAAAGTCACCAAGTTTAAAAAGCACTGGATTAAAGTAATATATCTTCACTTGTCTATGCAAAGTTGATAACGCGTTATGGAAAACACACATTCTCTCAGGTTCACCTCATCCTCCAGTTTTTGTAGTCATCCTTCCCCTCCCTAACAGACTATCTAGGAAAAGGTGTTGCGTTTCCTCCAGGGAAGTGAGGTGGTGGGAAAGATACTTGAAGAACCTCAGTCTGCCTTCCTGCTCTTTCTCTCACCTTTAAGTACAACTCAGTATTTCCCCTCCTGATTCTTTCCCCCCCACAGCTACTGGGTCTTGTCCCCGGCTTACGCCACCCCCCAACACCGCTTCTGATGCACTGCTGAGTCTCCCACCACATGGGTTATGGAGCCGTCACATCCTGCAGCAGACACTGATGGATGAAGGGCTGCGATTGGCCCGGCTGGTATCCCACGAGCGAGTGGGACGGCTCAGCCCATGTTTGCAAGGAAAACCCCAGATGCCTGGTAAGTAGCTGTTTTCCCTTTTCTTTTCTTTTCTTACTGGTATTTATTTATTTATTTATTTAATCTTATCTTATAAGTAGTCCTTGACTTGCAACAGTTCTCTTAGTGACCGTTTGAAGTTACAACAGCACTGAAAAAAGTGGCTTATGACCATTTTCTCATGTATGACTGTTACTGTTACATGTGACTGTCATGTGATTTGCATTCGGATGCTTGACAATTGACTCCCATTTATTACGGTTGCAGGGTCATGTGATCACCTTTTACAACCTTCTGACAAGCAAAGTCAACGGGGAAGCCAGATTCACTTAACAATCGTGTTCCTAACTTAAAACGATTGCAATGATTCACTTAACAAATGTGTCAAGAAAAGTCGTAAAATGGGACAAAACTCACTTAACAAATGTCTCATTTAGCAACATAAATTTTGGGCTCAATTGTGGTTTTACAGTGAGGACCAGCTGTATTTTATTTAATATTATTTTATTTAATTATTTTATTTTATTTTATTTTATTTTATTATTTTATTTTATTTTATTTTATTTTATTATTTTATTTTATTTTATTATTTTATTTTATTATTTTATTTTATTTTATTTTATTATTTTATTTTATTTTACTTTATTTTATTTTATTTTAATGTTTGCTGTCCACCTTGCTATGAGGTGACTAGGTGGCTTGCAACATTAAAAGCTATAAAACCATAAAACACAAATATTTCTAAAAACAATACAATAGAATTACAATCAAAAGTAAAATTACAGTTTAAAAGGGGGGAGAGAGGGAGCAGGATGCGCAGGAGGGGAGGGGAGATTTTCTCCTAATCCATTAACAATAGTGAGATATTCCCCCATTGGGGCCACAAGCCAGCTGCCAGAGCCAGGTGTTCAAGCCCTTAGGGAAGATCAGAAGCGGGGTGGGGGGAGGGGTAGCAGATCTTATTTTGGGCAGAGGTAAGAAGTTCTAAATTGCAGGAGCCACAGCAGAAAAGGCTCTTCATGTTTCACTTGAAATCTGATGGGCACCAGAGGGCTGAGATGGCAAGAGGAAGTCTGTCTGTGCTGACACAATAACATTATTAGAGAGCCTGGCAGGAGCAAAGGATACAATTGAGAATGAGGAGAACTGCAGTCTCCCATCTTTATGAAGATCAGTTGCATCCCTTTGGGGAAACACGCTCACCGTTTAGTAAAGGCCAAAACTATTAATTTTCTTCAGGGAGCAGACCGAAAAGCTTGTATGTTGCTGTTAAAGAAACTGAAATCCTATTAGAGGAGGGCTTCTGTTTCTGAAAAGATTCACCGAGTTGACAAAAATAACGGTTACTATTCACCTTGCAGTTGTGTCCTGGAATATGGAAAGAAACAAACTGCATATCATTCAGAAAAGGCCAGCTTTGTCAGCTTTAGTGAGGCACAGGGCACTTTTGGGACACTAAATGTATGTGGTTCAGAAACCAAGGAACAGGATTGCGACCCAAGGCAACTTGTTACGTTTCTGGATTCTACCCAAAATGTTCTGGAAAAATGCTGGAAGCTCTAGGAAAAGACTGGCGCTCTATTTCAACATACAGTTCTAATTTTATTTTTAAGTTTTGTTAGTTGCCTTAAGTCCTCGTCAGATTACAAAGGCAGGATAGAAATTGGGGCAAAAAATAAAAAACCATAGCAGACAGATTTACCTGGACTTTATTTTGCTGGCCTCCAAAGTGGAAGTTTAGGCTCTGAAAAATGGGAGAAGTCATATTCATCGCAGGATATCCCAGTCGGTGTTAAACGCCCGCCCCCCCACACACACATTAATAGTCCCTTATTAGAGAAATCCCTGCCCAGTTGTTTTAACTTTCTTGATCATTCATTTTTATGGAGTTTTGATGAGGCAAAGGCTATCCATAGGAACCTTATCCAGTAGCCATTGGAGAACAACAAAAAATGAAAGTTGGATTCCTTCAGTGCTCAAATAGGAAACCCATTGAACTGTTTTTCCTCGTGCCAGATTTTATGTCCATGACTGCTTGGAAATGGATCACGAAATCTTAACTTTTTCTTTCTGCCTCTCTTTTTTTTTAGAGTTTGGGGAAACTCTTTCTGAGCGATGCCAGCCTCCAGCAGCCCAGCCTGAGGCCAGAAGAAACAGCATTAAGGTGGAACCAGACACCAGCCGGCAGTGAGAAGCAGGGACGGCCTTGCTCAGCCATTAAGCAATAATACTCCAGCCAGCTCTGAGCGTTAGACAGTGGAGGGACCTGTCCTCTGCATCACTCCCAGGGAGGCCTGTGGGACTTCCTCGCAGAAGGCGAGCTGTCGTACTAGCACAACCAACTCTTCACCCTGTTCTCTTCATGAAATGGAGAGCATGCTTTGGCTCACAAACAGAAAAGCCATGGACCTATGGACGACGAATGACGTAGGAAGAAAGCCTGCCATCTTAATTTAACTCGGCACAGAAGGGGGTGCCCTGGCTACAGTTGATAGCATGAGCTCAGGTAGACCAAATCTCTGGCCCTCTGATGGACTAATGGAAGGTCATACTTACCCACAGCCTTTCCTCCCATGTGAGACTTGAAACTGAGGGGTACATAGCCATAAAAAAAGCACACAAATATCCTGTACATATTTTATTGAAAGGCATATAAGTGATTGGCCATAAACAATACATGTTGTTCCCAAATCGTCCCCATACTCCTGTACTCTCAACCACACGCATACACATGAAACATGTTTGTCGCTGCCCTTCAGTCTTTGTCAACAGATGTTTCCTGTATGCGCAGAAACTGCATCCCCCCGACTCTTTGTAGCACACACACCCTGCAAACCATTTTGCAAATTGCCATAGTTAGAAAGGATAATTCTTGATGTGACAGAAGGAAAAAAAAAAGATGTATCAAAGACACCAGAGGTTACTATGCTATCTGTATAACTAAGCAAAATATGTAAATTGAATTAAATTCAGTTTTTGTGTCCCCTCCCCTCCATTGGAATACGGTCCCAGTAATCACTTTTAAGCCCAAGGATGGTCCTCAGATAAGGAGAACTGGGGCATCTTAATGCCACACATTTTGCTCATCCCCAGAACTTTCCTGTTTTTTTATCGTGTATACAGTGCTTTAAATATCCTCATTACTTCTCTTGCCTGCTGATTTTATATTGTGGTTAATCATCAGAAGCATTGGTTGCTGTTTAGCTGAATTTGGACTGCTTGGAGGTATTTTGTTTCCTAATAGCTCTAGGGAGGCTAGAAGTTTACCCATTAAAAATAAGGATTGAACTGCTGCCATTTGGATATGGGCACACTAGCAACAGCTGCCTCCACACTAAACTGCATCCCAGCAGCGTTTTTAATACGTACTGGTAGTCCTCGACTTAGGACTGCCATTGAACCCAAAATTTCTGTTGCTAAGCGAGACATTAAGTGAGCTTTGCCCCGTTTTACGACTTTTCTTGACACATTTGTTAAGTGAATCACTGCAGTTGTTACGTTAGAAACACAGCTGTTGTGTGAATCTGACTTCCCCATTGACTTTGCTTGTCAGGTGGTCTCAAAAAAAGGGATGACATGACTCCAGGACACTGCAACTGTCATAAATACAAAATAAGTTTCCAAGCGTCCGAATTTTGATCATGTGACCTTGGGGAAGCCACAATGGTCGTGCGAAAAACTGGTAAACGCTTTTTTTCAGTGCCATTGTAACTTCGAACGGTCACTAAATGAACTGTTGTAAGTCAATGACTACCTGTATTCTATCAAAACTATTGATGCAGGGAGGTCAATTAATATCAGAATCCATCCCTTTTCTACCAGAACACTTTGAATTTATAATGGATCCAACAAAGGCGGAAGGAGGCCTTGCTGAGATTCAGGTGGAACGTCGTTCTCTCTCAGTGCTCCCCTACTCCTTTCCTAAGGCTTCTCGCTCCTATTCTCAGAGCTTATTTATACAGGTAATCCTCAGCTTACAACCACAATTGTGACGAGAATTTGTCTTGTTAAGCAAGGTAGTCGTTAAACGAATCATGCCTGATTTTATAATACATTTTTTTTTGCCACGGTTATTAAGCAAATCACTGCAGTGAAGTAAATCCGGCTTCCCCCATTCACTTTGCTTGTTGGAAGGCATCTGGGTAGGTCACAAATGCTGATCATGTAAAACAGGGGTGAGCAAACGTGACCCTTTTACAACCTGTGGACTTCAACTCCCCGTCTCAGGAATTCTGGGAGTTGAAGTCCACAGGTTGTAAAAGGGCCACATTTGCCCACCCCTGATGTAACCCCCCCCTTTCCCCCATGCTGCAACCATCAAATAATATATGCCGGTTTCCAAGTGCCAGAATTTTGATTACATGACCGTGGGGCTCCTGTGACAGTTGTAAGTGCAAGGACACTTATACTTAAAAGCCACTTTTTTAAGTGCCAATTTAACAGGAACGGTTGTGTGTCGAGGATGACCTGTACTTTCCTTTCCTACCACTTCAGTTTCCTGTAATCGGGAAGAGGAATGAACGGCAAAGAGGAAACCAGTAGCCATCATAGTGAGAAGTAGATAGGCTGATCTCTACATGACACGCAGAAAATGGAAGATCCTGCCTGGATCTTCCATTTTGAAGCAGTTTCATAGAAAGTAAAATCAGCTAATGAAAAATTACAGGCTTTTGTGAAGTCTGCTGGATGAAGATCCCTTACTTTCAGGTTCATGTCTGACCCCACACACATTCAAACCCCGACAGTTCGGTTTATAGTAACTGCTGTATTTGCTGGAATTTTTGAACGGGAATCAGAACAGATATTTCTGGAGTTATCACCTCTTGAGCGGAACATGTTGGATTCGGTGCCCTTAATAAACACACATGCAACAGGGATGGGGGGGATTGTAATTCAATTTGCTGCTCTAAGGGAACACTAACTTTACAACTACTCTGTTATTTAAGGGAATAGGAGAACATTTCCTAACAAGGCTTTAGTAATGGTATAGTCCTCTTTTTGCTAAAGAAGTGAATGGGGAATGGTGAAATTGAGAAAACCTTAAAAAGGAAGGGAATTAAACCCCTGTCTGACTCTGGGACAGGAGAGGATCAGTTTCCCCTCCAGGGATTGTACCTTCCCTGAGGAAAATAACATTCTTCCATTCTCCTTTGCTCATTATAATTACGGTATAACGACAATATGAGATAAAGATGGAATAATATTAATTTCCTTCAAAGCAGTCTGAAAGCAACATTTGCTGGAACAAACTGACTTCCAAAACACATTGTTCAGGTAAACCTTGGAACTCCTGTTGAGTTAAAATTAATACTCAACTGCTATTCAGTCAAGTCTCCATCTCCTACCGTACAGTCTTTGTGTCTTTATAGGAAAACTAGCATCCTTTTGTTTGTAATGTATACAGTAGATTATTTATTTTATTATTTTGGAATAAAGTCTTATTTTATGGGTTATTTTACATTGCACCTTTTACCAGGATCTTGGCAAATGAGAATAGAGTCTGTACAATAACAAATCTAGTATAAAAGGTTGGGCTGTGCCAGCTGCTAAAATAGGGGAAATCTCGATTTTACATTATCCTACCCAGGAAAAATGGCACAAGTGTTGCAGTCCATATCTCAAAGAGGCCAAAATTCACTCTGCATCAGAAAAAAGGTGTAGGCTCCCATCTATTATAGAGGAACTGCAACTTGGCGAAACTGGCCCAGAATATTTTGCAGCTATTTGGGTGAAAATTGAATCCCACCTATTCCCCCCCTCCCAACTATGGACAAAAACTTGGTGAGAAGATTGCATTCACCATCATGCCTAAGGCAGTAGGTTACTTTGGCAAATCAGCAAGGCAGGCCATGCAACATTCAACACCTCCCCACTATTGCTCTTGTTTTGGCCTGAGATGGTCACCTCACTGCCTAACAATTCTGTATGATATGGAGAAAGGCTCTGTGGAACGTTAAATTCTGGGAGGAAATACGGTGTCTCTTCTTCCAAAGGAGAAATGAAAAATAATGAAGACTCCATTGGAATCTTTTCATTTCCCCAACTGACCCATCTAAATACATGAAAGAATCAGCAGCCCAACCAAGACTTTACCTACGTTAATTGAACAAAGAAATTTTCTTCTGAAGTTCCTGATGAAATGTTTTCTGTCTTGGCTGCTGGTACTGGTAAAAGTCAATCTAATGTGCTATAATTGGAAAACCACCAAATCTCCCTTACAATCCAGAGGTAACACAGATAATTGGTAAAGCACACAGAGGTGCTAGTGCATCATATTCGTCCCCCTTCCCCCAGATATTATTCCCCACAGCAGAAGGAGATGTGAGTGAGTGGGAGACCCTCTCTTGCTCCATTGGCTGCGCTGGCAATATAGGCAGTTGGCACACAACTGAAGCGGGTCTTGGTTCAAAAGAACTTGCAAAGATCTAACAGGATGAAGTAGATATGCAGATGGTCCCAGGAGTAGTTTTCTGTACACAGTAAGTCTTCTGGGTTACCACCATCACTGTTTATGTCCAGGCTTGATAGGGAGAAGTACATAAAAGGTCCATTAAAGTACAGTTATCGCCAAGGTATTAGAAAGACGACAAGCACATAAAAATGGGTCACACTGGATTATGGCAAAAGTGAAGGTCCGGGTGCAGGTCTTGGTCTGGATGCAGAAGCTTTTCAAACTCTTCACTGGAAGGTGGCGAAATGGTCTCAGGCACACTGGAGGTAGGGGGGGAAAACAGGCAGTGAGCAAGCGGATTTGAGGAATTTGTTCTCATGAAGCACCTCGCAACCAACAGGCAGGATCATGCCTTCATCCCATTATATTTTCCCTCCCCAATTTCTTGGCTTCCGGCCAAGAACTTGCAAGTTTGAATCCAGCTACGTACCCCATTGCAGCCATTCCATTCCCCAGCTCCCTTGGCTTCTTATCAGTAGACAAAACAAATTGCATCAGCCCAACATCCCAAAGGTGCTTTTTTTCAAGAGGCAACTGGACTTCCCGGTTTTTCTTTGAAGACGTTTCGTTTCTTCTTCGCTCACAGCTGAAGATGTTTCTTGGATGAGAAGCGAAACATCTTCAAAGAAAAACCGGAAAGTCCAGTTGCCTCTTGAAAAAAGCACCTTTGGGACAAACATGACCTGGATGACTGAGAACCTCTATAGGCGTCAGCCTAACAATTATCATTCTCAACTGCGCCTTCCACGTTGCCCTGCCCCACTTTACCTGCGATTCAGTGTCTACTTCATTCTCAATAACTAACCTCAGCAACACGTTCCTTGCTTTGCATGCATCAGAAACTAGGACATCTATAGTTAAGCTAATTTGCTTAGTGCATGGGTCTGCAACCTTAAACACTGAAAGCCATTGGGACCCATTTCCCACAGAAAAGAAAACACCGGGAGCCACAAAACCCTTCCTGTGCCTGACTATTTCTTGAGCAGCCACAAAACTAACATATGTGGTTGAATTAAACATTCTGTTTTCTTCTGAAACTTTTCTTTTCTTGGATTTATCCATGGTTGGCCTACCGGGAGTTGAAAAGCTCAATCAATTGCGTGCTGGCGGGTGTTGCACATTGGCGGTTGTGACGCATATTTTGAGTGACAGGGAGCCTCAGCAGAGGGGTGAAAGAGCCACCTGCGGCTCCAGAGCCACAGGTTGCTGACCCCTGGCTTAGTGTTTCAATCAACTAAGAAGTATGCCATCCTGTCCTCCTTTGAAAGGTTGCTTGAAATAATCGATCTTATAAAAGGTTCCCTATACTATAATTTCTGGGGACTCTGGAGGAAGCAATGACATGCGTTCAGATAAAGCCACAGGAAGAAAAAGCAATATTGCAAAGCCCCATCGTGAGAAATGTCTCTGATAATTATCTTTATCTTTCCACCTTCAAGATGCCATCTACGCTCACCTTAACGGGTCTGCCATCACATGGAGCTGAAGATTCCCTGGGTATGTTATGGTGTTCTCAGTGGGCAAAGAGAGGTCTGGCATCTCTACATCTTGGCACATGGGGTATGAATCCATTTGACCAAGAGGCGAAGTATTGCCCAAAGGGTATGAGCAAGGCATTAATTCACTGTGAGAGGAAAGAAAGAGTGGTCACAATGCAGTTTTAGAGACTGAAAAGTGGAATAGGGTATCCTGACATTGCTAGGTGGTATCAACTTAAAATCCAAAGCCAATGGACTAGAAAATGATGGAAAATGACCCTGAGGTTTTTTTGCTCTCTAGGTAGTTTAGGTTGATTGCCCAATATTGCAGTTCCAAAATGAAAAAGAGAACTTGCATTAAATTAATATGACAATATGCAAATATGCTTTTAAATGAACCAATTATATTTAAATTAGTCTTAGGCTTTATGTTTGGTATCAATATTGGGCAAATAGCTATTTTTATTGCTTTTTCATATTGCACATTTCAATAAATATTTCTATATATTATGCCCAGGTCTCGACGTTGTTCTGGATTAAGTACCATATTTTTCGGTGTATAAGACACCCCCCCCCCCAAAAGTGGGTCGAAATGTCTGTCCGTCTTATACAGTAAATGTTGCCGAAGCCCCGCCCACCCACCAGCCCCCACCCTTCGGCCTCTGCCTGCCAGCAATTTGCCTCCTTGCAGCAAATAGCTGCAAATAGCAGTTTCAGCACAGCCTGATTTAGCACAAGCAGCTGATTGGCGGTTGGATCTGCCTCCCAGAATACTGCCTGTCAGCTCTTCCAGGCTGTGGGGATTGCTACTGCCCATCGCCACAGTCGCCACCCATTGCCACTGCTGCCTATCACCGCCTCCGTGCTCCCCATTTCGGCCTCCATGTGCCCCATTTTTGACCCATTCCAGGTGCTGCCACCAGCCCTCAAGACCTTTTTATTTTATTTTATTTCAACAGGCTGGCCTGGCCTAACTTCCTTTTAATTGTTAATTTTAATTGGTTTTTTTTTTTAAAAAAAAACGGGTGTTTTAATCAGTATGGGCCAAATTTATTTAATGTGTTTTAAATTGTTTTTTAAATTTTATATTATATGTGTTTTATCTTTGGCTGTTCACCGCCCTGAGTCCTTCGGGAGTAGGGCGGTATATAAATCCAAAATAAACTAAACTAAAACTAAAACCTGTCCCCGCCGCCTGGAACAGGCCAAAAATGGGACACACGGAGACCAAAAATGGGGTTTACGGAGGTGGCAATAGGCAGCAACAGCGATGGGTTGCAATGGCGGCAATGGGCAGTGGCGATCCCTGCAGCCTGGAACAGCTGATAGGCAGTATTCCAGGAGACAGATCCAACCACCAATCAGCTTGTGCTAAATCAGGCTGTGCTGAAGCTGACCAGGCTGTTTGCTGTAAGGAGGCAAATTTCTGGGAGGCAGAGGCAGATTTTTTTTTCTTGTTTTCCTCCCCAAAAACTAGGTGTGTCTTACAGTCCGGAGCATCTTATAGTCCGAAAAATACGGTAGTTCTGTTCTTAGTGAGATCTAAGTACAGATTCCTTGGTTAACAATTGCTATTTAGTGACTGTGAAATAAGGACAGCCCTGAAAATGTAACTTTATGACTGATCCTCAAAGATACGACAGCCACATGACTGCCATTCTGGTGCTTTGCAATCAGCACACACTTACGACCATTGCAGTACTCCAAGGTTACACGATCACCATTTGTAAGCTTCACAGCTGGATTCCAAAGTCAATGGAAAAGCTGGCTGTAAAAATGCAAGCCTCGGTCACATGATCTCTTATTACCAGCCAGGGGTGTTTCACTTAGCAACCACAATGTAACCTGATGTCATAAGTCTGGGTGCGGTAACATGAAGTTTCACTTAACGATAACGTGGCTTGGCAATTGAGTTGCTGGTCCCTAGTGTGTTGCTTAAGTGAGGACTACCGGTATAACATTCAGTCAGTGTCCTGCTTGCTCCCCGCTATTCTTTCTGAGACAAACAAAACAGAAGGTACCCTTACAATGGCAACTGTGAGCTTCCATATGTTGTGCTGCTGGCTAAAGATGTCCCAATGGATGATGCAACCATCACTGGTGAGCTGTGGCAAACACAGAGAAGGTTATGTCAAACACTGGACAGAATAATCTCAAGATTCTATCGATGTTGAAATGAGCATACAACACATCTGCACTGATTTCTTTTTACCTTCTGATAATCCTTGATTTACAACCAGTTGCTTAGTAACTAGTCGATGTTACAACAGAATCCCCCCTCAAAAACAACTGATGACCCAGTTTTGAATGGGTCTCTCAATGGTCTCATATGCCTCTCAATAGTCACATGACCAAATTTTGGATGGTTGGCAATTAGGCCGCATTTACAGCCATTTGCAGTGCCTGCGGCCACGTGACTTTGAGTTATGACATTTTTCTGAAAACCACCATTTATTTCCAGTTTCTGGCAAAAACTGCCTCACAGCGAACGATGAACGATGCTTAACAAAGACCGTCGTGTTTGTTTAATGACTGCCACGCTCGCTTAGCGATTGCCACAAAAAAGGTTGTAAAGTCAAGTCTGGTCACATGGTGACCCGTTTTACAATAGTCACAACTTCGGGCCAAAAATTGTGGACTCAATTACAATTGTAAGTCAAGGATCACCTGTACTGATCGCATCACTATTTTTTTTAAAAAAATCCTACCATTATACTTAATTTACTGCATTTTTACTTTGTTCTTCCTTCAAGTGGCCTTCAAGGGCAGTATAGATCAGGGTTTCTCAATTCAGCATTCTGGATGGGAAATTTGGGACTCGAAGTCCACACATTTAAGGTTGCTGAGGTTGAGAAGCCTGGCCTAGATGGGGTCTTCTCTCTTCACCAGCCTTTTGAGAAAGGTTTGGTGGGGAGAAAGAGTCTGAGTTCACATACCACTCTAAGTGAGGAGTAACCAGAATAGTGGGTTTTACCCAGTGGTGAAATCCAATTTTTTTTACTACCGGTTCTGTGGGCGCGGCTTGGTGGGCATGGCTTGGTGGGTGTGGTGTGGCTTGGTGGGCATGGCAGGGGAAGGATACTGCAAACTCCTCATTCCCTCCCCATTCTGGAGCCAGCCAGAGGTGGTATTTGCTGGTTCTCCGAACTACTCAAAATTTCCACTACTGGTTCTCCAGAACCTGTCAGAACCTGCTGGATTTCACCCCTGGTTTTATCTAATATAATTTTTATCACACAATAGGCACCATTTTGTAACTTGCATGATGCCATGAAATGCAAAACTAGCACAGGAGAGAGTGGTTAATCTTTCCTCATAACTTATTTCCTTTGGAGCTCCTCTCCTTCCACCTAAATCAAACAGAATTCCCAATCAATGCATTGGTGTCCTTTCTAAGTACAGTACTTTGGTCTGAAATAAAGATAGGGATATTTTTACAAAGCAAGGAGAGAGAGACACACATTTAAAAAAATAATAATAATTCTGCCTTTACTATTTTTAAATAACTCAAGGCAGTTAACATAACATAGGTTGACTCAGCCTTCCATCCTTTCTAAGGTAGGTTAAATGAGGACCCAGTTTGTGGGGGCAATAAGCTGACTTTGTATAAATATACAAAAGTATGAAGGCTATTGCTTAACGCATTGTAAGCCGCCCTGAGTCTCCGGAGAAGGGCGGCATATAAATCAAATTAAAAAAAAAAACTTTCCTCTTTCCTCCTCCTATTTTCCCTTCAACAACTCTGTGAGGTGGACTGCATTGAAAGAGAGTGACTGCCCCAAAGTCACCCAGTTGGCTTTCATGCCTAAAACGGGACTCAAATTAACTGTCTCCTGGTTCTAACCTGGTGCTTAAGGATTAGACCAGAGGTCTTCAAACTTGGCAGCTTTAAGACTTGTGGACTTCAACTCCCAGAATTCTCCAGCCAGCAGTTGAAGTCCACAAGTCTTAAAGCTGCCAAGTTTGAAGACCTCGGCACTAAACTGGCTCTATTTCAATATCAAAGGTCACTGAAGCCTAAAAAAAATGATGCAGAATTGGAGATTCATGTCTTTGCACAAAAGGGAGGGGAGTTGCATTGTCAAAATAATTGGGGTGGGGAGGGAGAAATGAGGCATCTGCTCTCATTCACATTACAGCCAACATCCACTTTCACCCTCTGAATCACTGCTTTTAACAAAAGAGGTCAGAGAATCCAGTGAATATTAGCACAGAGAGTAAGAAAGATGATCTTACAGAAATACACAGGAACTGCCACCTAGACAAAAGGGGCAGAAACATCTTTAAGTTCAGAATGAGATACAATTATAGCCAATTTTCAAAGTAGTTTTAGCCTTTCTGCGGAGTTGATTTCCTGATCTCATCTATCCAAAGGAGCTGACATGAGTCTTTCAAGTCTCATTGTGTTGTACTTCCTCTTCCTTCTTATATTACAGTCTGCCTGAGCTGCTTCTGAATGAGATTTAGTTGTTCTGGGTATAAAATAATGTTTCAGTCTCTTTTGCCTAAGTAATGGTTCCTGCGTATTTCTTTCAAGGTCGTCTTCCTTACTCTTTACCATACACTGAATTAATCAGCATTTTTTGCATCTAAACAAAACCATACCAAGGATACACATCAGCACTATCAAAAAAGAAACCTAACACGGTACTTTCACATTCCAAATCTTCTTTCATAAAATCAAAAGGAAGATGATGCTGACGTCAATCCTACTTTGAAGCATTTTATAAATAGCTGCATTTCATGGTTCTTTTTTTCCTCTCCATCTCTTTGCAGAAGTTCAGAAACTGCTCTGGACATGATCCTATTGTCCTGGCTCTACTTGGAAGCTAAATCTTTTTTTTTTCCTTGTGGTTTCACATCACAGTAAATGAAATTGTTCTTTTCCATTGTAAGGCAGCAGCTTTAGAGAACTTGTAGGTGGATCATTTTACATTGGTGAGAAATCTTGCCCTCAATCTTTTTCCTGAAATTGCAGTTTCTCTTCAGAACAACAGTTCTGTTTTCTTATCTTATCTTCCTCCCCCCACCAATATAATCAGGTACATGTACACAAGGTAAACTAAGAATATAGATGGGATTGGAGAACCTTCTTCTCTGATGTCAGAGAATTGTCATTTTCCAGGACCAGGAATAGCTCAAGTTTGGGCCTCTATAGCATTCTCCTTCAATATTAAAGGAGTGAAACAGAGACTTTTGAAGGATTGGGGGATAAAGAATGGGGGCAATGTGAAGGTACTTCCTCTTGGTACTGCTTCGTAGACACATGTTCATTATTTATTTATTATTTATTTCTTTATTATTATTTATTAATTTTATTTCCATACTGCCCTTCTCCCGAAGGACTCAGGGCAGTGTACAGCCTGATTAAAAGCACAAAGACAGACAAAATTTAAAAATAATTAAAATTATTAAATAATTGGCTCAATTATAAAACCCCCAAATTTAAAATCCCACAATTAAAACCAATTATATAATAAAAACACAATGGTAGGATTCTCTGCAATCAATCAGTAAGTTGATACTTACTCATGATAAGTTGAATCAGAATGGACTGCAAGATTCACATTAGAACCGCCCAGAGTATCAACTGGTTTCTGAATGGATGTAGGGAATGAGCAGGGTCTGGAATTGAATACAGCTTGTGTGAACATCCATTTGTTAAGCCACAGGTCACTTTTGGCACTTTTGCAGATTCTGATCTAAGAGGCATATCTGATCTTAAAGAGTGTTTTCCCTTGCCTTGTTCAAAATGGCTCCAATAGGATAAAATAAAGGCTGATGGAGAAGGTGAAATCTAAATCTTAATCTAAACCTAAATCTAAATCACCTAAATCTAAACCTAAATCCATCCAATTTACAATATATAGTTGTCCATCTCATGAATGTGACCCTGGGTGGTGTATAATAAAACCCGACCCAGATCTATCCATTAGTTTCCATCATCTGTCTGATGATGTTATGTTGGATTCCTTTCCCCATGGTAAGAAGGGAGGGAGAGAGAAAGTGCAGTAAGATAGTAATGGAAGAACACGATACACACAAAACAATGCTGAGACCCTAGAAAAAGTACAGAGAAAAGCAAATAATGATAAGGGGTTTGGAGGCTAAATTATATGATGAATGGTTGAGAGAACTGGGTATATCTAGTCTGGTGAAGAGAAGGACTAGGGGCAACATGATAGCAGTCTTCCAGTGTTTGAGGGGCTGCCACATAGAGGAGAGGATCGACCTATTCTCAAAAGCAGGATAAGAAATAATGGGTGGAAGATCATTAAAGAGAGATCCAACCTAGAACTAAGGAGAAATTTCCTGACAGCAAGAACAATTAATCAGAACAGCTTGCCTCCAGAAGTTGTGGGTGCTCCATCACTGGAGGTTTTCAAGAAGAGATTGGACAACCATTTATCCAGAATAGCATAGGATCTCCTTTTTGAGCAGGGGCTTAGACTATAAGACCTCCAAGGTCCCTTCCAACCTTGTTATTTTATGTTCTATGTTCTAAGGACGAAAGGGACATAGCTGAAAGAAAGTGCCATCTGACCAAAGTGCTTTTCAGACCTTCCCCTTCATTTCAGTAGAGCTACATTAAGATAGGTCTGAATTTACTGACTACTCCTGGAAAGGTTAATTAGGAAAAGATGGTCAACATATTTGTACCCAATCCCAGGAAACGTTAAAAGAAGAGGAAAAAAGTTGGAGAATTCACACACTCACGTGTCTACAGTTATTGTTAACCTGGCTGGGACATAACTGCTGGTGTTTTTTCGTGTCTCTGCTACGGGAAGAAACAAACCACATTTTAGCTTCTCAATGCACAAATCGGTTCATATTGTTCATACACAAAGAAATTTCAAGGAAGTTTTGTAACAAGAGGAAGCCCTAAAGCAGAAGTTGCTTTCCCTCTATAACAGCAGTTCCCAGCCTGATGTCTTCCTGATGATATCAATTACAGAAAGGTAGAGTCCCAAAAAGGGATGAGTCAATTGTTTGGGGTTTGATGTGTTCAGTGTATTCAACGATTCTTAGAAATTCTCAGACAAGGATGCTGGAAATGATCCAGGCAGAAACTCAACTTATGATCTGCTGTCTAAATATTAGATGGAGCTTATCCTGTGACTTGCTCGGCCTTATCTTTAGAATCTCCAAGCAGTTTCTGAGTCATTAAAAAAAAAATATTGGTTCATCAATAGAAATGAGCCTCTTCATATTTTCTGACTGACATACAGCAAAAGCTCTGCAGACACACCTTTTGTTCAATTATGTGGCATGTCACTTGAACTATGCAAGTTTATATGACAAAACTCACGGATTTGCTGAAAGTTAGCTCTGTCTTAAATGCAGAATGGAACTGAGGAGAGCAATCAGATATGGATAAATAAATCAACCCTGGTCGGGTCTATGCCATTTTATATGTGTTTATACTAAGTCCCACTTTCACGTTATTTTGTGATTTATAAGAACATTTTCTACTACATTTTGATAATTTTATTCAGCTAATAGTAGCATTACACAATGAACATATTAAGCTGCCAAGTTCCAATTATAGTAGATCAGTCACCAAAATTGCATTCCCAAACATTTCTAGTTATTTTGATTGTGGGACAAATAAAATATTGCCCTTGCATAAATAATAAGATTTATATAATAAATAAATAGACATATACATACACTAGATTATATCCTGTCCTTCAGAATCTGTACAGAACCCATTTTTTCCCTCCCTGACTTTAATTTTGCTCCTCTGTTTTTCAAACTTAACTTAATCTTTACTACATCCATCTGAACAAATATAAAGTCAAGGGGAAAAAAAGAAACACATAAAAAGAAAGTTAACCAGCAACGGCCCTCTTGCTATAGGACCATGTACACAGTATTTACAGTCTCTAAAACAGAAGCACTTCTTTATAGTGGCAAAACAATTTTGGAATAACTTCTTAGAGGAGTATTCTTGGTGCCAGTTTTGATCCCTTTTCAGCTTTTTTCTTGGGAATTCTGAATATAAATTAAATTTCCTTATCTAATTGAAAAAAAATATTATGCCTTGCCATTTTACTTTGTTGTTTTTTTAGTTTGTACGCTCTAATCATGTTACATTTCTCACTATGCTGTATATTGGCAGAAAATTTCCTTTTGGGTGTAAGTAAGCCCAAATATATATATATATTTTAAATGAACCAATAATTTAAATAAGGGAATTCTTCTGGATTTCGTTTTTGAAAGCCATGCCTTATCAGGCCATATTTTTTCCATCAAGCCTCCTTCTCCTAACTTGATTTTCAATCAGATATATTCCAGGAAACGTTAAATTCTGCCCCTGACTATCGGGAACAAGAGAGGAAGAGCTCACTTGGGGAAGGAACACCCTTGTAAAATATTGAGCCTCCTTCTGTCTGTATCTTTTCCCCTGCCCTTCTCCCCACCACTCACTGTTGTAGTCCCTCCTGAAAGCCTCGTGTTTGGGCCTGTTAGGATAAAGCACATGGAGCTGTGGGAGATCCAGAACACAGTCAGCCAATGAACGAATTGACAATTGCTTTGCCGTGAATGGCTGGATGTTCTCCACCTGAGTGGTACCTGAGACAAAGGAAGAGAAAACAGCCCGTAAAGAAATGAAAATGTCAGCCCATCACACACACAAAATGTATACCTATGATCCAGAGCAGCCACCCACACCTTCTAGATGCATTGGATTTGCTTGAATTAGGCTTCTCCGTATATCGGGCCTTTGGGTGGGACTTCTACAAGTTCTAATTATAATTGATTATTTAAATTTATAAGTCTACCCAATTCTGGGTAACATGCAAATTGGAGTAAGCTTGTATCAGTTCCTCCCTTTTAGATCTCAACAACAGCATTGCTTAATTGACTTGGGATCAAGATGACTAACAGGGTGTCATTAGCATACTCATGGTACCACACACCACATCAGTGAATATGACACCCAGTGGTTTCATGTAGATTTTAAACAGGAGGGCTGAGATCAGGGAACTTGGGCTCAATTTCTCTTTCACATTTACTCCAATCTGGAACAGGCTGTAGAGAAAGGAGAACCACTGCAACACAACGTATCCCACTTTGAATCCCTACTATTAATCTAGGATATCATGATTGACAGTATCCAAAGGAAATTGGGGAAAATCAGGACAGTTGCAACATCTCCAAGCTGGCTTTGCCACAAATCATCAACATGTATATTTAGTGATGTCTCCATTCTATACCTGACCAGATGATCCATTTCCTCCAGGAAATAGATAATCTGGTTACCTTCTCAGTCACCTTCCCTAGAAAAGGGAGATTGCCCAAAAATTGCCCAGATCCAGTTTTATAACTTATTGAGGAGGAAACACACCTAACTCCTTCAAGCCAGGCAGAACCATCCATTCACATAAGGTTGCATTTACCATGTCCTCCTAAATAAGGAAGCCTTCACTAGTGTTAAGGATATTGTTGTTGTGTTACCAACCAGCAGAGTGTAGAGCACAGAGAAACGTTGCTGAGAGCAATGAATAAGAGATGTGCAAACTGGTTTATCAAAAGTTTACTTTATAGTGAAAAAACAATCTCATAGTCTTTAAATCAATCCAAGTCTTTGCCAGTTAAATCAGTCCAGTGATACAAAAATCTTCTTACCACACAAACAGTAGTTGGTTAGAATAACAAGTTCACTCTGGTTCACAAACCACGATGGTAGCAGATCCATCCAACGATGATAGCACAATGGTAGCAACTCCACACACTATGGTAGCGTATCATCAACTGAATACTTTACAGTACCTTTCTTAAATACGTTTACAACTAGTGATTATCTAATTACAGCATGACTCAGCATTACAATGAATCAGCAGGAAAACTTTAAAGTCACACAATACATATTCATATTAAAGTCACAGAACACATATATTGCCTGGACAACTTGTTAGGCTCAAACCATATCCTAACAACTAGCTAGGGACAACAAGGGTCTAAAAGACAGATGCCCATGTTAACAGTTTCAATGACCCTGTATTTACAAGAGCAAAGACTTTCCAGGTAACAGGACAAGAATCAGGTTCTGAATGATCTGGGATAGGTCCGTGAATGTCATGATGGCCATGAACTCCTAAGTTGCTCTTGTGACTTTCTGCCACTCGAGGACACATTGAACTCTCCAAGAACTCAAATATTCTACCACTAATCCAGCAATAGAATTGAGCAACTCAGGTAAGGCTGGCTAGTTCAGCAGCAACAGATGCAACTGCTCTCTGGAGACCCACTTCGGCCTCATATTCAATTACCTTCAGGACAGTGCCCTTGAAAGCTGTTAAGGTAACAGTGCCTTCTGAATAACATTTGCTATCTCAATCCGCATTCTGGGGTCATGGCTGTCATATTTGATACCCAGGTGAGCACAACTCTGAAGAGGAGCATTCCCTTTTAGGTCAACCCAACTTAGTCTCAGCCACTAAGATCATGCATTGTTTATTACTGAGTGACCGGACATTTAGCAGTAGCATCAATCAGAGGCCAAGGCCATCAAGGATTTGTTAACCTAGAAGGCAGAATGTCTTTACTCCACCTTCCCCATGAGTGGCCTGCTCCTGGATTCCCATCATATATTCCCTTGCCCATTATGACCTGGATGTTACCATGAATGCTTTGTCCATCATCTGCCTTCCCTTTCCCAGGTCCCATCAGATGTAATCAACTACTCAGCAGTCAAATAACTTAGTCAGTAGTTTCCTTATGCTGTTTTTGTCTCTTGTACTCAATAGCTACAGTGCATTTCTGACTGTTGTAGGCTTCACAGCTTATCTCATTACACCCCACACATACATTTCTTCTTCTCCTTGCTAGTCTCCAATCCCAAGGGAGAGAAGCTGCCACACTATTATCTTATGTATCCAATCTCCATTGCAGGGCAAGAACTAAGGTCCAACAGTGCAGCAGGCAGACTGACTGATAATTCAATAGGTGAACCTGGTAGTTGTCTGAACAGGCAACGCTTTGGCTGCAAATGCAAGAGGTCAATGCCCAGGCAGCTGCAAAATCTTGAGTAGGTCAAATACTTGCACCAACATCTGACTGTACTCCTGTTTCTCACCCCAAAGCTATATGTTCTTTCTTATGGGAGAACCAGCCAACCTTCCAGTACCAACTTTCCTGCTGCAGCAATTCCAGCCCACACGATCTTCAAAGTGGTGGACCAGTGATTGGATCTTCTCTGCTGCCATGCAACGATGTGCATGTGAATGATGGGAAACTGTCCAACTTTCCCATCCTGGCATTATTTTTTTTAGCACCCTTTCAAAAGCCAGATACTCGGTGCGTTAAGGGAAAGATTTGCTTTTGCAAATCCCCACAGCAAGGAAACAGCAGTTAGATATTGATAATAACTTAGTTGGGCAAGGCAAATTTCCAAGTACAGCAGTCCAAAGTCAAGTCAAATTTACAACAGCAAATCAAGGGAGAGACGAGGTTGTGGTTAGTCAACAAGCAACTAGATTCCAAGAATCATGATACACAAGCCAGATGCTGGAGTTGCTACTAGCAAGACCGCATTGTTCCTGTAAGACTTTAAACCCTCTCTCTGCTGATAATGCACAACTGTGGCCAAACTTTACCGGCGAGTTCTGCTTGATGGCAAATTGCAAGTCGTGTATTTCAGTGAGGCACAGAAATCCCAGGAGGAATTGTTGGGGGTATATATACAGTATATACATGAAAGCTCAGAGAGCCACTATAAAATGGTGGAAGCAGAAACTGCTCCATGATAGGAACGTGACGGATTTCATGTGAAACCCCTAAGAAACACTGCTGTTAATTAGAGAAGTAGAACAATATTGAGTAGATAATTTGACCCAGCATTGTATGTTCATGCTGATGTACTGAGTTTCACCAACAGCCAGTTCCAGCCATGCTGCTTTGCATCAATAACCACACCCATCCTTCCCAGTGCCCTTACAACCAGAGATTAGCAGAGAGCTAGAATGTAATTAGTTAATTCCTTGCCCTTTTAAATCAATGGGATTAATTCTTCCCTTCCAACCCTGCTCCAGATTAGAGCTGGGAAGGGGAACAGATGTTTCCATGGTATTACTCAGTTGATGAGGGTATTATTCCTATCATAGCTTATTGATGATCTTTGGCAGAGCTGGGATGGAGGTCTCAATGGCTTTTGATTCTACTGATCCTAGTACTTTTCTCAGCTGATTCCTTGAGTAGGACATTGGGAGCACCATTTTATGCCTCTATTCTTTTCCCCAGGACTGATTCCAGTTGGTGTTGATTGGTGGGAAGAGATCTTCCTTGAGACCTCTTGCTTGTGGCGTGCCACAAGTTTGTATTTTCTCCCCTCCTTTTCAACATCTACATGAAATAGCTGGGTGAGCTGCCAGTTGGGGGTTCAGTAACATCAGTATGATGAGAGTACCCTTTTGAGTCTAGGCTGGCCAAGTGAAGTGTCAAATTCTGTCCAAGTGCCCGGAGGTTGTCTGGGTTTGGATGGGGAAGAACTGTCTCTAACTCAATCCTACCAAGACCAAGTGACAGGGTTAGGGTTAGGGTTTGATTGTTTGGACCACCCAGATCTGGGGATAATCCAACTTTGACTTTGTATGGAGTTTTATTTATTTATTATTTGAACTTGTATGCTGCCCTATCTCTGAAAGGACTCAGGGCGGCTCACAACAATAAAAACAAGCAAAATCAATGTTAAAAATACCCAGTAAGATTATAAAAAGACCATTAAAATCCCCTTTAAAACCCCTTCAGTCCAAACCAGCCAGGCGAAATAACCATGTTTTAAGGTCACAGCGGAAAGAGCAAAGGTTAGGGGCCACCCGGAGCTCCAGGGGGAGCTGATTCCACAGGGTAGGTGTGCCCACAGAGAAGGCCCGCTCCCTAGCGGTCACCAGCCGACATTGTCTGGCCGACGGCACCCCAAGGAGGCCCTCCCTGTGAGAACGCACCGGGCGATGGGGAGCTGTAGCTGGCCACAGATGGTCAGCCAAATACCCCGGGCCTAAGCCATATAGGGCTTTATAGGTAATTACCAGCAGCTTGAATCTCACCCGGAGGGCAACTGGTAGCTAATTCAAGTCCTGCAGGAGAGGTGTAACATGAGTAATGAGAGTGTCGGGACACTCCCATTACTACCCACACGGCCGCATTCTGCACCAGCTGAAGCCTCCGAGTGGTCTTCAGGGGCAGCCCCATGTAGAGAGCATTACAGTAGTCGATCCAGGAGGTAACGAGCGCATGGGTGACTATGCGTAGGGCATCACGGTCCAGGTAGGGGCGCAACTGGCGCACCAGACGAATCTGGGCAAATGCCCCCCTGGTCACGGTTGTAACATGATCTTCAAAAGTCAACCGTGAATCCAGGAGGATGCCTAAGTTGCGCGCCCTATCAACAGGGGGGAACACCTCACCCCCTATAGCCAACGATGGAATATTCCCTTGGAACCGGGATGCCGGTATCCACAGCCACTCTGTCTTGGCGGGGTTGAGCTGAAGCCTGTTCCTCCCCATCCAGAGCAGCACCGCTTCCAGGCACCGGGACATCGTGTCAAGGGCATCACTGGGCTGATTCGGGTGCATACTGATGATACCCTACCCCAAAACCACGGATGATCTCCCCCAGTGGCTTCATATAAATGTTGAACAGAAGGGGAGAGAGGACCGACCCCTGAGGGACCCCACACGTAAGGGGCCTCGGGGTCGACCTCTGTCTCCCCGCCAACACCGCTTGCGAGCACCCAGAGAGGTAGGAGGAGAACCACCGTAAAACAGTGCCTCCCACTCCCAACCCCTCAAGGCGCTGCAGCAGGATACCATGGTCGATGGTATCAAAAGCCGTCAAGAGATCTAATAGGACCAGGACAGAGGAATGTCCCTTGTCCTGAGCTCTCTAGAGATCATCCACCAGTGCAACCAATGCCGTCTCCGTGCTGTACCCGGGCCTGAAACCTGACTGATACGGGTCCAGATATAATGTTTCATCCAGGGCCAACGGGAACTGATGTGCCACCACACTCTCAACAACCTTCGCAATAAAGCGAAGGTTGGAGACAGGACGAAAGTTATTCAAAATAGCTGGATCCAAGGCAGGTTTCTTGAGGAGGGGTCTCACCACCGCCTCCTTCAAGGCGGGCGGGAAACTCCCCTCACCCAAGGAAGCCGTAATAACTGCCTGGATCCAGCCACGTGTAATCTCCCGGGCTGAATAAATGAGCCAGGAGGGACACGGGTCCAACAAACACGTGGAGGTACTCAGCTTCCCCATGATCCTGTCCACTTCCTCGGGACTAACAGGATCAAACTCGTCCCAAATCACCAGTCCCGCCGTCACCTCCCCGACCGACCCTGCCCAGCTGGAGTCCATTCCATCCCGAATCCGAGCGATCTTGTCCCGCAGATGCTGACTATACTCCTTTGCCCGCCCCCGCATAGGGTTATCTCCCGCTCTCTGATTTAAAAGGGAGCGGGACACCCTAAATAGGGCAGCCGGGCGATTATCTGCAGACGTGATGAGGGCGGAGAAGTAAACACGCTTCGCCGCCTCCATCACCACCAGATAAGATTGAGTGAAAGATCTCAACTGTGCTCGGTCAGACTCGGAACGGCTGGATCTCCAACAGCTCTCCAGGCCTCTCCTCTGACGATTCATCTCCCGGAGCTCCTCAGTAAACCAAGGGGCCAACCGGGATCTGCTTCGGGTCAGAGGCCGCAAAGGCACGACCCGGTTGAGAGCCCCGGCAGTCACCTTTTCCCAGGCATCCACCAGAGTCTCGACCAGGGCGTGGGAAAGAGAGACAGGTATAATCCCAGGCTCCGTTTGGAACCGCTCAGGGTCCATCAGACCCTTTATCCTTTATCAAGGATAATACTTAATTTGGAAGTCTTTGTGGGCTTACAGCTCCTGTTCATTGAGCAGGTGCCAGCAGGAAGGCTTTTGCCCAATTTCATCTGGTGTACCAGTTGTGCCTTTTCCTAAATTGAGGGGTCCTTCAGTTAGTCACTTGTGTCCCAGTTACTTCCCTGCTTGACTACGGCAATGCTGCTGTCTACATGGGGCTCCTCTTGAAGACCATTTGAAAGCTTCAGCTCGTCCAGAATGCAGTCACACAGGCAATGATGGGTTTGCCACAATATGCCTATGTAACACCTCTGCTTTGTGAGCTGCACTAGTAACAGTAACAGAGTTGGAAGGGACCTTGGTGGTCATCTAGTCCAACCCCCTGCTCACGCAGAAGACCTGTACTAGGGATTCGAACTGCTGAACTTTCTGATCGACAAGCTCAGTGTCTTAGCCACTGAGCCACACTTGCCAGTTTGCTTTGGGGTGAAATTCAAAATGCTGGTTGTTACCTATAAAGCCTCACATGGCATAGGGCCTAGTTATTTGAGGGGGCTGCCTCTCTCCCATAGTATGTGCTCAACCAGTTCAATCTGGCAGGGTCGATGCACTCGGGGTTCCATCAATTAAACATTGCCACCTATTGGGACTGTGGAAGTGTGCCTTCCCTGCAGCAGTGTCTGCTCTCGGGAAAGAAGTTCCTCCTGAAAAATGGTCCCCCACCCTGCTGGTGTTTCAAAGGGCCTTAAAGGTCTGGCTCTTCGCCCAAGCCTTGGGAGATCTCCTTTCTTCCTTGTGGTGGTGCAGTGGTTAGAATGCAGTACTGCAGGCTACTTCTGCTGACTGCCGGCTGCCTGCAATTTGGCAGTTCGAATCTCACCGGCTCAAGGTTGACTCAGCCTTCCATCCTTCCAAGGTGGGTAAAATGAGGACCCAGATTGTTGGGAGCAATAGACTGACTCTGTAAACCACTTAGACAGGGCTGTAAAGCACTTTGAAGCGATATATAAGTCTAAATGCTGATGCTTTCTGTTCCCCTCTGGGTTTCTTTTGTTTGCCATTCTTTCTTTTTTTTTTGTCTTGGGCTTTTTTTGTATCGTTCTTCGTTTTTTAAAAATGTTTTAACAATTATAAATTGCCCAGAATCTCTTGCAGTTGGCATATAAATATAATAAAACTATTCTCAGTTTCAACAATCCTGACTTCAAATTAAAAGTTAAAAGGGTTTCATTGACAATCACCTATTTAACAGAGACAGAAAAACCTATTTTTCCTCCGCTTTAAGCTTTGCGAATATGGAGCTGTCCTACGCAAAGACATACCATCTGGGAAGTAGTTGACATAGGCGATGCTGATGCCACCAATTTCAGAGTCACTGAAACGTAACAGGAAAGTCCCAGCTGGCGCATTGCTCAGGTAATTGAAAACATATTGCTTGCTGACAAAGCCCATGATCAATCTGCATGAACAAAATAGACAGATAGAGGGAAAAAAACAGAGGAGAAAATCAATAATCAACACTGCAGGGCTTAGAGAATTGTAGTAATGGTTGAAAGGAAAAAGTACATCCCTCTGATTTTGAAACTGAAAAAAACCCAACTAATTGAAACTTCTTATTCTGTGTGTATCAGTATAAGCTGGTACCCCGACTCAAACAACCTGGTCAATAAATATACTTCCTTATACTGGAAAAAAAATTGAGAGGAAAATAAGTTCTATTTTCAGACTTTCACTCCTAATTCAGTTTTATAATTACTATCTATCTATCTATCTATCATCTATCTATCTATCTATCTATCTATCTATCTATCTATCTATCTATCTAT